GTATCTATTGTATCCGATAGGGGTAGCCAATTTATTTCCAGGTTCTGGAGGGCCTTTTGTTCAGAAATGGGTATTTCTCTCTCATTTTCTCCCGCTTATCATCCCCAGTCTAATGGGGCTGCTGAACGTGCCAACCAGTCTCTGGAGCAATACCTCCGTTGTTTTGTGTCTCACCATCAGGACAATTGGTCTGACCTGCTTCCTTGGGCTGAATTTGCTCGGAATAACGCCACTCATGATTCTTCCCGCAAGAGCCCTTTTTACGTTGTCTATGGCCAGCATCCCGTTGTTCTTCCGGCTGCATTCTCCTCACAGGGCATGCCAGTTCTGGATGAGCATTTGGCTGGTTTGCGTACTACTTGGGAGCAGGTTCAGCGTTCTTTGGTGGACTCTGCTACTCGCCAGAAGGCTCAGGCTGACAAGCATCGCAGAGCAGCTCCGTCCTATGTTGTGGGGACAGGGTTTTGCTTTCCACGCGGAATATTCGTCTCCGGGTGCCTTCTATGAAATTGGCTCCCCGCTTCATTGGACCTTATCGTATTATACATAAGGTTAATCCTGTTTCTTATGCCTTGGGCCTGCCTAAGAATCTATGTATTCCTAATGTTTTTCACACCTCATTGTTGAAACCTTTCGTACGCAACCGCTATACCCGGCATACTCCTCCTCCCCCTCCTATCTCGGTGGAGGGTCATGAGGAGTTTGAAGTGTCTGCTGTTCTTGACTCTCGCTTCCTTAGGGGTCGACTTCAGTACTTGGTACATTGGAAGGGTTATGGGCCTGAGGAGCACAGTTGGATTTCGGCTGATGCTGTTCATGCTCCCCGTCTTGTGCGCTCTTTCCATTCTCGTTTTCCTGCCAGGCCTGGTCCTACCCGCCCGTAGGGCGTGTCCTCAGGGGGGGGTACTGTAGCGTTACTTACCTTAACCGGGGGCCGGTCGCGGTCCTCTCTTCAAGCCGCGTGCGGTCCTGCGGCTGCACGAGCCGCGCGCGGCTCATCCGACTGCTTTAGATGGAAGGCGGGCAGTGACCGCGTGAAGCGGTCACGTGTCCCGCCTGAAACTAAGAGCGCGCCGTGAGTCTCGGGCGCGCTCTTAAAGAGACAGTGGGAGCCTAATTGCCAAAAGGCTCCCATTGGCTCCTGTCATACCACACTCCCTGTACAATTACCTATAGGGGGTGTGGAAGTGACAGGAGCCAATCACTTTCGTTTTAAAGCTATTTAAACTTACCTTTTTCCCTTAGCTCGTTGCCCTATCGTGGTTTCTGTTTCAGTTCCCTTTAGCGCTTGTGGTGTTCAGTTGTGTTTTCTCGTATTGACTTTGGCTTCGTATTCTGACTTCGTTTTCGCTTTATCCTTATCTGTACTGTTTGCCGGCTTGCTGTTTTCCGTGTACCAGACCCCGGCTTGTCCTAGTTTACGCTGTCTCTCTGTGCCCTTGACCTCGGTTTGTTCCTGGCTCTGTCTCCTCTCATATACGTCGAGTCCGGCCATTCTAAGGTCCGGTAGACGTATCTCTCCTCTGTATTTGCCCCTGTTTAGCTGGATCCTGCGTGTAGGGGTATATTCTCGTTACAGGGGGTGACTAGTGACAGAGGGAGGGAGGGGGTGACACAGTGACAGAGTGAGGGGGTGACTAGTGACAGAGTGAGGGAGCGGGTGACACAGTGACAGAGTTAGGGAGGAAGTGACTAGTGACAGAGAGAGGGATGGGGTGACTAGTGACAGTCACCCCCTCCCTCACTCGGTCACTAGTCACCTCTTCCCTCCCTCACTTTGCCAATAGTCACCCATTCCCTAACTCTGTCACTAGTCACCCCCTCTCCCTCCCTCTGTCACTAGTCACCCACTCCCTCACTCTGTCACCAGTCACCTCCACTCACTGTGTCTCCCCCTCACTCTGCCACCACTCAACCCCTACCTCCCTCACTCTGCCACCAGGTACTCCCTCACTCTGCCACCTGTCACAACCTCCCACACTCTTCCACCTGTCACCTTCTCCCTCACACACTCTGTCACCTGTCACATATGCATGCACACAGACAATATATGCAAAAAAACACATGTAGTCATCCAGACAGGCACAAGTGCATTCACACAGACTCAAATACAAACATGCATTGATACACAGGTCTTCACAATATACACATCCAAAGGAATGCCGTATTATGAGTTATATTTAACATTTATTTAATGCACATATATTTGGCCTTCAAAGGGCCTGGGATCTAATTTTGCCCGGGGGCCCCAAAGGCTCTCAGTCTGCCCCTGGATGCATACTTTTCAAGTTATGAATAAAGTGGAAAAACTGTATTTCTCTGGCTGTGATAATTACATTACCCATTGTGTAAGGTAATTGTATCACAGGCAGAGGGGAGGATTTTTTGTGGGAGTGTCTGAGTGTATTGTAAGTGTTTATTGGTTGTTTTCCAAAACCCTGTGGGTGGTACTAATGTGTAAGAATGTGTACATAAGAACAATAAACTCACAGCTCTGTCTGTTCACTGCTTGACCCTCAACATGGAGCTTTGTCTCGTTCTTGGGGGGATTTATTGTATGTTGTTCCAGTTTGACTGCTAGGAGTGTAAACCTATTTGTATGGTTTTTCCTATTCGGCTGTTTACAGCATTCGTATGGTTCCGGTTCGGCTGTTTACGGCATTCATATGCTTCTCCGGTTTGGTGGATTGGTGTCTACAATAGCTGCCTGTGTCTGTGGAAGGGGAAGATCTACTAAACGGCTGTTAACCCCTTTTATGCCTGGGGGTGCCGTTACATTTACCTTACCCTAAAACTAATCCTACACCTATCCCTAATCCTTTCCCACCCCTAAAACTACCCCTAACCTTAAACCTAACCCTAAACGATTCCCTATGCTGATATCATTATTGATATAAGCAGAGTGGTTTCCTAGTTAAATCAGTAGATAGGCATCAGTGACAGCGGCGTACATACCACGGCTGCCCTGCGGACCCCTGTGACCGGGTATCTGCCGCCATCATCTTCTGCCGTCCAAGGAGTCCATCGAGTGGCCCATGTTGTCAGGATGGAAGAGGAGGGAGTCAGAGTGGGAACTCTGACTCCCATCCACCTGAGCCACCTCTGGACCCCCAGGGAAAGTCACCCTTCTGCACAAAAAGGTAGGAAACAGGAGGGTGACTTAAACATTTTGTGTGTGTGTGTATGTATGTGTGTCTGTATGTATGTGTGTCTGTATGTGTGTGCCTGTCTGTCTGTATGCATGCGTCTGCCTGTTTGTATGTATGTGTGTGTGTGTATGTATGTGTCTGTATGTATGTGTGTCTGTATGTGTGTGCCTGTCTGTCTGTATGTATGCGTCTGCCAGTTTGTAAGTATGTGTGTGTGTGTGTGTGTGTGTGTGAGCATGTATGTCTGTCTGTGTGTCTGTTTGTATGTATGTGCGTCTTATGTGTGTGTGTCTGTCTGTATGTGTCTGCCTGTGTGTATGTGTGCCTGTCTGTTTTTTTATGTATGTGTCTTTGTATGTATGTGTGTCTTGTGTGTGTGTCTGTCTGTATGTGTGTCTGTGTGTGTGTGTCTGTCTGTATGTGTGTCTGTGTGTGTGTGTGTGTCTGTCTGTATGTATATGTGTGTGTCTGTGTGTGTACCTGTCTGTCTGTATGTGTGTGTGTGTGTCTGTATGTGTGCCTGTCTGTTTGTATGTGTCGGTGTGCCTTCATGTGTCTGTGTGTGTCTGTATGTATATATGTGTGCCTGTCTGTTTGTTTGTATGTATGTGTCTGTGTGTATGTGTCTGTGTGTGTGTGTGGAGAGAGAGAGGGTAGGGAGGGGGGGCCCACAGGTCATTTTTGCACTGGGGCCCCATAGTTTGTGTGTACGCCACTGATCAGTGACAACCATCTACTGG